GTCCCATGAGGAAGAGCATAGATCGAGATCAAGGGATGCTGATTATGGGAAGAAACGACGCCTTACCTCTGATTAACTTGACCGTGTTTGCAGGAGTTTCGGGTTCTTCTTAGAAGGCATAATGAACTGTTTTCAATGTTCACCATGACCGCTCAGTGTCTGTTGCTAATGTGGGAGCTGTTCTGCTTTTCTATGATTTTTGGCTTCGTAATTCACATGATTCCTTTCATGGTGGAGCTTCGTCAGTGCATAGTTCAAGTAAGGTTTCTTTCTTTTTCACTACTCTTGAAATCTGCTTATTTTTTTCAATTTTTGTGGGTGTTTTTGCCTTTATGTGTGTAGCTTTTCTTAGTTGTTCAATGCTTTCTCCTTTCATTGGGAAGTAATACTAGACTTTCCTTTACATTTTGAAGGTTTAGTTACTAGGGATTGTACATTTGTTTTTTTCAAGCTTTATTGATGTGTGCATCAGACATTAGAATTATCTCTGTTGCACATTAATAACTTGCGCTCTCTTTGTGTGTATCTGTCAGTCCGCGTCTGTGATTAAAGTTCTTGTTTGATCTGATAAATTTTCTTAAGTTCTTGTTTGATCTGATAAATTTTCTTTCATCAAGTAAAACTACACCCTTCGAACTGGGTGTGGTTGAATTCATTTTGACAAAGTTCGGTGGTGCATGTCTTAAAATTATGGTGAGTGCCCTGGATTACTATTTGGGGATTACAGAGCATGGGTTAAATGCTGTTAAGCTGTATTTGAGAATAAGATAGGGCGTGTAGTTTGATTTATTTGGTACTTCTGATACTTGTTAGCCATTCGTATAGTTTTAAATGGCGAATGACGATCCGAGGCGATTCGCCCATGGCCTGGCCACAACGTGAGATGTGCGTCCTCGGAAAATCAAATGACCAAAAGCGTAAGGAAACTGATATAGATAGTGATATTGTATATTAAGTTCAAATGCCAAAAAAAATCTCCAAGAAATATAATAAAGTTTAAAATGAATAAAATGAGAAGCAATCCTATTAAATAGCAGCACAATTTGCCATATCAAAATAGAGCCAACTAATAGAACCAAATATAGTAAATGGAAAACAAAGTAAATTGAAAGAAGGAAAAACATCCTAATTTGCAGCCTTGATTATTGACCATTATCTGTCACATAAAGAAAGTTAACAAAAAGGAAATTGAGGGAAACAGGAAAAGAAAAGAAACAAAAAAGGAAAATTTGGGAAAAGTGATAACACGGGTCACCGGTGGTCAAAGTATGCTGGAAATAGGACGGGTCGGCCATAGGTTCCTCCATCCAGACCAGAGTAGCTTATGAAGATATTTTTCAGAAACCATTGTTTGCGTGCGCGACTTCTATGTGAAAGAAGCCATTTTGTTAAAAGAAATTTATAAGTTCATCTTAACTGGACTGGTGCGTGGGGCACGCCTTTGCGTCAACTTTGGTTAGAGAGATGGGGCTGCGGGGGTGAGGTGATATTACATCCAAGTCTTGCCATTTAAAACCCTGTCTCTGATTTATTGTCCAATCTTGATTCAGACCTTTGTAGTTGATGGTGAAATCGCCAATAACCCACAATAGTAATGTAAACAATAGGCGAATACCATACTGAAAGGTGATATGACATTTATTGATAGTGCTTGGCAATGTTACTTTTTTTTTTTTCATAAGATTTTTTGTTTAATGCATTTTGCAAGTTACTTGTTTGGTGTAGGCCAATTCAACCTAAAACAAGCAATAGCAACAAAAAAAATAATGGGGTTGTATATGTTTTGACAGATTTGGTTACTTACAGAATCCCCAATTTTTCAGCATTTTTATGTCGAAAAATAAACATCTTTGCATCTGGTATATGTTATGGGGTTGTTTAATGATATAAAGACCTTATAGTTTTCCATGACTGGTGGTCTAGGTAGTACACTAGTACCTATAAACTGAGGCAGCAGTGGTGAACTAGGTTTCTAATGGTGTGGTTTTTAAATATCATTGACTGTAACATGTGTCATTAGTACCGAAGTTGTGATATAGCAGTTCGATCACATCGATAATTTTAGTGTCATTTCATAACATCTATTGTTGCCTCATTTCCTAGTTTTCTGAACGACATTTTTTTATCTGTAATTTGATATTTCCTGAGGAATCTTTAGTGAATTCGATGTCTGCTCATGTTCTGTACGGTGATATATGTGGTCCTTAAGAGTTACTATCTTTCTGATTAAAAAAAGTGTTCATGTATTGCATAATTAATATTTCAGATATTGTTTTTTCTACTAACGATCATTTGTTGATGCAAAATTGGTTTGTTTGATCAATACATGATATCTGTTGTCGGTTAAACATGTGTAACAGTTCATTCTTTTTTGTTTGTGTGCAAATGTATCTCATGTATATCCTTTGATGTTAGCTTGAAGGATGTGTGGATTTTGTATTGGGAGATTTTGCTGCTGATCTGGATTCTTGCAAAGTACTTGGGACGTCGAGCTTTTAGTTAAAGAGACGATGAGATGGCATGGTGACACTTTATACACGTGGAACAATTTTATTTCATTTATCAGACTTTTCATCTATTTTCAAGAGTTTTAATATGGCTTTAAACAAACCAATGTTGTGAAGATGGATAATTGCTGGAGTCTGAGATTTGGTGGACATTTAAGATTGTGTTTCAGTATGAATGAGATGTATTAGATTAAAGACTCAGTATGTTTGCCATTATTTGCCCCATTTTTTGTATTTATCCTTCTTTTTTTTTTTTTCAATTCTTCGATCTCCCCCTTTTTCTTGTCGGGTATTGTATGTTTTACTCTGGCATTGTTTTTGCTAGTTAGTCACTGATCTCATGTAACTCCCCGGTTTTTGTATATTAATCACATGTATAGATTTGTAGGATAATGATAGGAATTGCTTGTAACCATCATAGTACTATGGTGATTTTATGTATAGAACTTTCAGGAATTGCTTGTAACCATCATAGTGAGAAGGGCATTGTTTATGGAGTACCTCCCTTGTATATATGCAAGCATAATTTTAAGTTTGATCAAGTATCTTGCCTTGTGCATTTGTTAATTACTATGGTTTGCTTGGAATCTGAAACTGATTCATGGGAATGAGCTAAGATGTCTATGTATCGTACAAGGACGAGGGAAAGATGCAGAAAATAGAGAGAGTTCTGATGGTATTTTTAATCATCATTATAACTGTGTTAGTAAGTGTATGTGGATGCATGTATTGACGGATTAATTTTTAGTAAGGAATATTAATTAGTTTATTAGATATATCATTTGTGGAAACGAAATCCCCCTTTTCCCCTCTGTGCAAAAAGTCTCCTTTTCCAGCCCCAGCTGCAGGGGATCCCGCCGTTTTGCTGGTGTACCGGTCACGCGAGCTTCTTTTCAGCACCAAGAGGCGCGCGTCTGGCTAGCTCCTAGGAGGGTTTGTTGACCCGTCCGTCTGCTGGTTTCCTGGCTGGGCTGGGCCGCTCGGATGCGAGTTACGAGGTGCCTCTTTGGATCCTTGTCTCGAGCCCAACGATATTTTCTTGGTGGCTCCCCTTCTTCTCTCCAGCTCCAAGGGCCTTGAGTGTCCAGATTTGGGCCGAAAATTCGTCTAGGTAGTTTGAGTGACCGCAATTTTCGAGTTTGGAATCTAGTTGATGCATACAGAAGCGTAAACGAAAGGATATACGAGTATCAAACTCAAGATAATTGTAATTTTATTCAATATCAACCAATTAATCTTAAGAACATTCACCCATTTAAATACATTTTTGGTCTTCATGTGGGGCTTCTTGTTCCTCACCAAAGACCAACCTCTTAGATTTTCAATACTAACCTTTGTTTTGAATGACTCTTTGAATACATCACTATTTTAAGATTTCATCACTTAGTCAAAATAATAATAATAATAATAATAATAATAATAATAATAATAATAATAATAATAATAATAATAATAATAATAAAAAGGTCATGCACAATCCCATGCAAAATTCTTGCCGATTCCAACGTCGCTCGTATTTGTCTAAAAATGCCAAGGGGATCTCGTCTCCATCACTAGTTTGGTTGTGGGTGTAACTTGGTTGTCCAAAAACACACACATACTTGGTTGTCAGTTTAGTTGGTCGTGTGGTTTCATCCGCTCGTATTTAATCTTCCTTTGTATGTGTGTGTGTGTGTTTTTTTCCCGATAATGTCTAGTCTTTGTTATGGAGTTGTGTTTTGTGGTTTTTTTGTCGTCTTGATAGAATTTGTATCCCCTTGGACACACATAGTTTCAAGGGGGTATGTCTAAGTTTCTGGTTTCTTTGTGTCAGTTAACACCTAGTCATACTCTTTTAAATTTTCTAGTTATTAATATTAATTGTTGTGTGACAATTTTTTTTTTTTTTTTTT